TGCTGATTACTAACAATGGGGAAATAGGGAACTGGCATGTGGAAGTGGACACAGGGGAAGGTTGTACAGGGGTAGGGATGGGAGCTTTGTCATAGTGCTTTGATAATGCCGGGCGGAGCCGTGTAAACCTGTTAATCGAAAATGTTACTTTAGAATTGTCTGCTGCTTCCACTAATTTCATCGATTTTTTGCAAAGTTTGAGTTACGGGCTGGGAGGCACAGGAGGATAAGTGAGCATGCTAATTACCAACACAGCGGGATTAGGGAACTGCATGTAGAAGTGGGCACAGGGAAAGGTTGTAAGGGATAGGAATGAAACCTTTATCGTGTTTTGACAGGGCCGGGAGGAGCCGGGTAAGCCAGCTAGTGTTTATATAAAGCTGAATGTCCATTCGTCTATCTGTATGTATGTATGCATGGTGCATCCTTCAAAATTCTTCCCATATAAACCATCAACGTGGCTGTCTTTCGATTGTGCAACATGTCAGGTTTTAAGCGCCTTAAAGGCAGTGTCTCACCAAAATTTAGTTTCCCAGATTTTTGCAAAAACCCCGTTTTTTGGAGGCCCCGCGCAAGCGACGTGGACGAGTTCTTCCTTCCAACTTCAGCCTCAGCCACACTGGCAGCAACAGAGGGGAGGTGGATGCCAAGTGGAGGAACGTGTTCAAACGCGTAAGGGGGAGACCGAAGGAGTCGTCCGCGCGTACCAAGTCGCTCTCCGCGTACCACTTTGAGCGAATTTTTCTCAGCGTGGAGGGGGTCAAATTGAGTGGGACTTGTTGCAATGGCCTATTTAGAAGTCCTTATAATAGGATATGTGAAGATCCGCGCAAACTCAACTTTGGTGAGACACTGCCTTTAAATTTGCTGGAGTTAACGTGTTAAGAGGATCGAAAGGCAGTCACGTTCATCGTTCATATGGCTACAATTATGGGGAATGCACGATATATATATATATATACATATATATATATATATATATATGTAGCAGTGGCGGTCCCAGGATTTCGGACCAGAGGTGGGAGGGGGCCACTCCGAAAAAATTTTTGGGGTGCTTCTCAAAATTTTTGCGGGCCCATAACGACTGAAATCTTGAAAAAGGAGGCGTGGCGTCAACCACGTTCCCGAAAAATTTCTTTTACAAGGCTAATTTGAATTTTTAAAAAATTTTGAAAATCATTTTAATTATTTGCAAGAATAAACAAGCCACCTGTACATTTTTATAACCCACTTAAGCAAATTAAAAAAATTTTGCGACCCATTCTCGGGAGGGGAGGCGGGGGGGGGCCTCTCCCCTCGGTCCGCCACTGTGTGTACGTATGCTCCGAATAGAAAATTTCATTTCTGAACCGATCCGGGAAAACTTTGCACACAGACACTTCGGAGGGGGATGGGTGTAGCAGGCTACTTTTCGTTATCGATCGATACCGATTTTGATTTTTTGCAAGGTTTGAGCTACGGGGCTGCGAGTTGGCACACGGGGTAGGTGAGCATACTGATTACAAATATATTATTGACAGGACAGGGCGGAGCCGGGTTTGCCAGCTGGTCTCTAATAATCTCTTTATTTTTAATGCCCTTTTATAGTGAGAAGGCATAACAAGAAAGTACCTGCGTCGACTTTGTCGGCACCTTCCTTGCAACTTACCATTACTTCTCGTACCATAAAAGTCATGCCATAAGCAATATTGCCCAGATGTTTGCGGGGGGGGGGGGGGGGGGGGAGGCGTTGTGGAGCAAACTATCCCGCATTTCCCTGCGATAGATATATTCTGAGGGCCATTTTGCGTCTTCTTCAATTGCAGCCGCAGGAGTAGCGCTGCTCCTGCCAGCGGATTGAGCCATTCCCTATTACTACGACCTGATATGTTCAAACTGTATAAATACAAAAGAAAGCAAAGAAGACAATTTGAAAAATTCCAAGAAAATGGATGAATTTTAGGGATGAATCAAAAGCTGAATCTGGGATGGACCAATGCTGGATTTGAGTTGATTCAAGAGAAGTGGAATTAGTTGTGGATTTAGTTGAGAAGGGTGGAATTTCTCCGTTTCTGACCTCTCAAGAGAAATTATTCTCCTCATCTTTTACTTTCTCTTGGCTTGCTTTGCAGAAACTTCTTCCTCATATTCTATATTTGCACACCCTTGAAATGCGTTTATCATCTAATTTTGATCTCTTTATCTCTATGGAAAATACTAAGGAATGGCTCAATCCGTTAGGTAACGCTAGCTCCCCCGCGACTGCAATGGAGCGACGCAACGCAAAGAGCCTCAAGATATACCACGAACAAATGCGACGTAGCTTTGCTCCATAACGCCACCCACGCCGCCGACGTTTGCAATGTTACCTTGATTTGCCTATCATTTGAAGCATTACCACTGCACGAATAAATGTATAATATGTCGTCTGCTTATTAAAGTCTAATAGCTTACGTGTTCTAATAACACACACAGGAGCTAAAAGTAAAAAGTATTTCGCATGTGTCATTAGCTTTTTTAAAACCCTAACCAAACTTGCCAGATCTTTGATTTTATGGAATGGTTCCAGCTAGGACGACAGATCTAATACGGAGGTGGTGCAGGAGGAACCAAAGCCCTTGACCCCTGTATTCAAAGGGGAATGGGGAAGGCAGAGGAGGCTCCGCCCATCGCTCCGCCCACGGGATGCTCCCATTGTGCGTTGAGCAAGAATGGTAGATGGACTACCAGATATTGATCAAATTTGATGGATTAAGAAGTTAAACTATGAGTTGGAATTTGGGAAATGGACAGTAAAGATCCCCAAACAGGTTTTCAGATACCAGGATGACAATAGAAGTAGTATCATGTCATAAACGTAATGAATGTCAAATGGAACACCGCTACCATTTAACCATTGATGAATTTTGTTCAAAATCGAAGTGATGATGATACAAAGCTTACAAGGGAAGGATAGCAACATTAGTTGGCAGTTTAATATGAGATGTATATCATTAGATGCAACTTTGAACGCTGATTCCAAATCTGCTTTCCTTTTTTGCGGAATAAGTTTCCGAAAGAAGTTATGAGCGTTTGAATGTTCACATTTGCCAAGAATTGAGTGGCTTAAAATCGGCGAAAAGCTTTCAACACCTCTGCAATTTCCACCGGCTTTGTTCCTTCCTTGCAAACAACATACTCGATAAAAAAATGATTTTCCAATTTCCGGTGCTTTTTTACTGCTTTCCGCCCATTTTAGGCCACCCAAACCTTGATAAATTTGGAGATTTTAACGCCCACAACTTCTTACGGAAACTTATTCCGCAAAAAGAAAGCAGATTCGGAAACAGCGTTCAAAGGCGCGTCTACTGATATACATCTCATCTTCGATCGCCGACTAATGCTGGTATCCTTTCCTTGTTAGAAGATGGTTTATCAAAAATTGATTCAAGCATGAGAACATAAGCCGAGAAGTTTCAAAGTGGTTTTAACAGTAACTTTAACAAAGAAACTAACACTACATCCTGGATACTCAGATCCAAAAAGGACGTAAAATGCAAGTGCGAACATCTTACGCCTTTGAGAAGGCTCAGTAAAACTTCACAGCTCAGATTCGACGTGCGAACCAAACCTGGACAACCTTTACCCCGCTGGCAGTTGTCGAGGCATAGGATCAAAGAAGTGGGACAATATCTAATACAAATGGGGGAAACCACTGTAACTTCTATAACTGTTATAACAGACAAGTTTTGGTGACTTTGCCTGCTTTTTGCATCTTTTTGCCCGAGTCTGATTTTGCGGAAAATTTTGATGAATAATTTGGCATCTACTTTCAAGTTCATCTTTTTGAAACACGTCTTTCAAAGTTTTCCTCGCGAATTTTTCTCAGCCTTCCCCCCCCCCTCCCGAGTGAAACATTTATTGGAGTTAACAACGAATAAAGTTTTCACTTGAATTATGACTTTCTTGGCTCATCAGACGACTGACTTGATCCTGCAAAGGTCAACTAATCGCCTATTGATTAGCACAAATGCAACTAACCCAGTGACCAGTAAAAGATTGAGAAAAAATATTATTTATTTTAGGAAAATAAAATGCAATATAGAGTAAATTCGCGACGCCATTTATAGGAGTTCAAAAAACTTGAATTTGAGCCGAAGCTCTTATCTCTCTAGAACTTGTTCATCAATTCCAGTCTTTAAAAGGATGCTAGAATTGGATTGATGTGAAAACATACAAAAGTCCATTCAAATACAGAAACAAACGTCTCACTCATTAACCTTGCCATGCCCAAGAGCTGCTTCAGCGCGAGCTACACTCAGTTGATGGAAGTCAAATGTTGCAGTGAAGGCGTTGCAAAATCTTCCATCCTCTCTAACAGATTTTGCAAACTCTTGACAAACGCTCAAAAAAGTTGAAAAAAAAACTTGATTACCGTAGACGATCTGGTGCAAAGGATGTGTGGACTTCTTTCTAAAGATAAGAAATAAGCCTTCACGAGCCTGTACTCAACAAGCGTTTCTACAATAAGCTCCTTACCTCTTTCTTTGGAATAGTTGACCGTGAAACCTCTAATAGCAATTATGTTGGTGATATAGATTGAGCACTGTAATCACAAATATGACATCTTCACGAGGGTTCCTCATGAAACAGCATGTGGAAAAAAATTTATAACAACTTAGAATCACAATCAGATTACAGGAACCAGTTTATATCACTTCAAAATTATAATATCACAAAAACATAACCGCATATACCGTTGAAAGGAAGTCATTGACAAGATGTTGAGATAACCTTTCAAGTATCAAAGCACTGTCTCCGCTGAGCATGTCCCGGTAAAGAACTCATACAATATTGGCTAATATAAGACTGGCTTTAGACACAGCCAGGATCTGGAATCTACTAACATAAGAACTGGGAGCTGAACCGTTTTCAGCGTTTAATTTCTTTTTGTATTAGTTGTCGAGAAATGCAGCAGATCGTAGGTTAATGACAGAATACGAGCAGGCGTTAAATTCACATTATTAAACAGCAGATTCTTCTTATTCGTCTGGATCTTCCTTCTTCTGCGAAGTTGATGATCCATCAGTGTAATAACTGGTTGATGTTTCAGGAATGGCAGATGACGACACCTCAACCGTCGATGACTCACCAGTTGTGGAGGTTGCGGCTGTGAAAGTTGAGCTAAGACTTGAATTTTCACTTGGAACAGACGTAGTCGATATGGCCGAACTTGAATTATAGGGACTGATTGACGTGGATTCTCCAGTTGTGGAAGTGGCTGAAGCATCAGAAACACTGCTCCTTGTGTACTCGGAAACAGATACTGTTGATTCTGTCATCACTGTACCGGTTTCAGCCGTGATAGACGGCTGAGAGGCATCAGAAACACTGCTCCTTGTGTACTCGGAAACAGATACTGTTGATTCTGTCATCACTGTACCGGTTTCAGCCGTGATAGACGGCTGAGAGGCATCAGAAACACTGCTCCCTGTGTACTCGGTAACAGATACTGTTGGTTCTGTCATCACTGTAACGTTTTCAGCCGTGATAGACGACTGAGAGGCATCAGAAACACTGCTCCCTGTGTACTCGGGAACAGATACTGTTGATTCTGTCATCACTGTAACGTTTTCAGCCGTGATAGACGACTGAGAGGCATCAGAAACACTGCTCCCTGTGTACTCGGTAACAGATACGGTTGATTCTGTCATCACTGTAACGTTTTCAGCCGTGATAGACGACTGAGAGGCATCAGAAACACTGCTCCCTGTGTACTCGGGAACAGATACTGTTGATTCTGTCATCACTGTAACGTTTTCAGTCGTGATAGACGACTGAGAGGCATCAGAAACACTGCTCCCTGTGTACTCGGGAACAGATACTGTTGATTCTGTCATCATTGTACCGGTTTCAACTGTGACAGGCGATTGTGTAGCATCAGACGACTCTGTCACCGTACCCATTGACATTCCAGTTGTCGAAGCTTCATAACCACTAGTGGTTGATTGTTTAGTGAATGTTACTGATGTTCCTGAAGCTGACGACCTAGATTCAGCTGAAGTTTGGGCGTTTGTCGCTCCAGAAGCTCCAGATGCTGTGGACAGGTCACCTGCGACAGTTGTTGTTTCAGGAGCGGCAGTACCATTTGATCCTCCACTCGTACTCGATACAGTCGAAGCTGAGTTATAAGAAGTAGTCAGCGCTGATTCTCCAGATGTAGATATGACCGAAACAGCGGAAACAGAGCTTTGTGTAGATCCTTCCGCGACGATAGACACTGTTGATTCGGTCATCTGTGTTCCACCTGTAATAGTATCAGACGAGGCAGTAGCTCCTGATGACTCCGTAGAAGAGGAGTTAAATGATCCCGTAGTCGAACTTCCGTAGCCACTAACGCTCGACTGTTCACTTGTCGTTACTGATGTTCCTGACATCGAAGGTGTAGAAAACATTGATGCTTGAGTGTTCGTCACTTCAGATGTGTTGGGTACTGTCGGCGACATACCTGTGATAGTCGAACTTTCAGAAGTACCTCCATTACCGCTTGATGTAGACTCTGATGTCACAGCATTTGGTGATGTGGTAGACGTTCCATTAGAAGCTGTTGACTGTGTAGCAGGATTTGTGGACGCTGCAGTCGAACCTTCGTAACTGTTGGTAGTTGACTGCTCAGTAGTACTTCGTGTTGCCGTTCCAGAATAGGAGGTTGTTGCTTGGCTGCTTGTTGCTGAAGAGGGCTCAGCTGTCGTCGCTGGTTCACTTGTGGTAGCAGCAAATGAAGTTGTTGGTAACTTAGTGCTAGTCTCTGGGCCTGTCGTAAGCTCCGACGTTATAAGAGTACTCGCTTTGTGACCGGTGTCGGTAGTTGTAATCTCACTAGTGCTTGTTGAGAAGAATTGGGAAGTTGTAGGCGGAGGAGTAGTGCTAGCTACTGTTGGTGTCTTTACATGCGTGGTGGGAGATTCCGAACTCACAATGCCATTAATCGTACTTATCTCATTAGTGGGAGCTAAGGAAGACGTGCTTTGTGGCTGATTGGACGTGGTTCCTGCACTAGAGGGTGCATTCGAAGTGCTAGCTTGGGTTGTTGAAGTCGTCCCACTTGTAGCTAGAGCAGGCGTAGTTTGAGGCGAAGACGATGCGGATGGTGAGGGAGACGTGACGTGCGCAGTCGATTGGGCCAAACTACTACTCGTGGATGTTGAAGCTGTCGTTGGAGCTAGCGTAGTTTGTTCAGTATCGATGGTACTCATGCTAGCAGCAGTAGAAGAAGAAGAAACCGTACTGGTAGCGGCGGATGACCCTGACGCATGCGTCGTAGGTATTCTGCTAGTTTCAGAAGTGGAACCCGGCGCCGTTGGAGCCGTGCTAGCTTTGGATGTTGGACTTGTTCCGCTCGCGATTGTTGTACCGCCACCTGAAGTGGAAGTGGATTCCCAAGTTGTAGAGCTTGCGCCTGATGAGGGCGCAGGTGGTTTCGTAGTGACAATTGTTTTCGATGTAGTAAAAGTTTCAGGAGTAGAACTCGTGAGTGGAGCAACTGTGCGCACAGTGGTTTGTTGAGACGTGCTTGGAGTTGATGTCGTTGTGGGAGTGGTTGTGGTGATGTGCTTTGTCGTTGGGGAAGTCGTTCTAGTACTTGCGGAGGAAGTAGTTTTTAGCGTAGTACGAACGGCGGTAGTCTTTTTCTCATCCTTCGTCCCTATAAGAAATCATGATTAAATATTTTTGGTAATATTCGTATAAGCTAAAGTAATGTTTTCGTTAAAAATAGAGACAGTCTAGAGCTTTACTGTTGCATGTGAAGTATGCATTTGCGAACAATTCGTCCTAAATAGAGATTTTTTTGCGCAAAGTTTTCTTGTAAGAATTGACACTGCAGATACATCCCCTATTAGCGGAAAAAAAGATGCTCTTACTCGACTCTCTATATTAATCAGGTTGTCCCATAAGATCCGTCCGTTTTCACTTTTCATTCTAATAGCTCGCGTTCTAAATTATCAAAAAAGCTCTAGGACACCTTTCCATAGAGCAAAGCAAGCTCTACCAAGAAGCGCCCAAACATTTGTGTAGAGTTCATTCTACAGCCACTCAAAAAATCAAGATCCAAAAGCTTTCATAGACCTAAAAATTCCAAGATAGTTAGAACTCTGCTTAAAAAACTCCTGCGAAGCTCCAACTCATTCATGCATATACATCCCTCATCTAACACTCATAGCACACTTGGCATATTTTTTCACTGCTAAAAGTCGAGAAATTTGGCTTTTTTTCAAAACAATGTTGAGCTGCTTCCATATAGGTTAATTCTATAGCCTAAACTTCGAGAAGTATGAACATATATTTTTAGCTTCTTATGAGCGATCACTTCCAAAAAATTTCAAATTTGGGGTCAAAAACAAAAAAATGATACTTTAATATTTTCGGCCTGTTCCTATTTCCCAGTCTCTGGCGCAGTTAAGCACAGTTTTAATTTTCTTTTTGATTTTCCTTTTCTAAATATCAAATTTTGATTTTGACTTATGGTGAAACCAGCTCGCTGCAAAAGTTTGGATACCGCTTTGTAGAGCCTGTTTTGCTTATGGAAAGCTATCCTAGAGCTTTGAAAGTAAGCAAAAATGGGAGTTGTTGGAATGAAAAATGAAAATGGACGAAACTACTGGATCAAACTAATGCAATCAATAATGATTAATTGTCAAAAAATCACTAATCAAGAAAGGTAGGAAAAATCAGTCGTAATCGGGTTACTCGAAGAAATGCCTTTCGCGGTCTGACTACATCTTGGTCCAAGTTCCAGAACATGTGAGAACTTCGAAAGAAAATTTTTGTTTTGGGAGGAAACTTCGGGGCTGTCTCGGGTTACGCGGGATGGGACAGTTTCGAAGCGATATTCTACGCATTTCCCTTTTCAACATGCCACGAACGATAGAAAACGATTTCTGCATTTGGGTCTCTCATCGCGCACTACTTTTCATATGTTTAGTTGTATGTGCACAAGGATCAGAAGGAGAGGCATCGGTCCATGGTAATTTTTTTTAGTCGTGCTTACTCACTAAACAAATCTTAACTCGGTTACAAATGGAACGGAATAGGAATTGTGAGCGAGCTCTTTTTGCTTTCAAATTCATTTCTTGGAATGGCTACTATAAAATCGTACGTCACACTTAGGATCCATCATTTGTCTTATTTCTTCTTTGATTACTGTGCGAAAAATCAAAGTTTTCCTACATTTTCAGCTTCTTGAAAGACGATATAGTTCCTTTCCAATCTTTCAAAGTGATTAATGCTTACCAAAACCGGTCGTTTTGTTCACGAGACTACCTTGTGAGTCTGTACCGAAAACATTGTTCTCATCCAAATCGTACATTGAAGCAACAGTAGAAGCATTAAGCGTGGAAGAGGCAACAAGGACTTTGTTGTCAATGCCGGCAGTCTTCATTAACTTGACGAACTCCGCCTGATCAGCCGGGTCACTAAAATGTATTTTTTTAACCAAGAGTTTGTAATTTTTTCGGGTCTGTAAAGGGGACCATTTGAGGATCAAGTTCCAGTATCAGAAGTGAACTCAGAACTTGAAAGACGAGAAGCTGCATCAGCGAGGGATCAAGGACGAAAAAATAACAAGGAAGCATGTACCTCCTGTTTTCAACGTCGCACGGCACGTAGTAGACAAGCTTATCGTCAGGATGTCCTTGTGTGTTTTGTATGAATTCATTCATTGCTCTGAAAAAAAAAATGTTTTGCGCAATGTCTAACACAATGTCACGTGAATTAAGGAAAGAAAATTGTGACGATTAAATCAGCAATTCATTTACTATACTTCATGCTCATGAGAAATGAGGACGTTCGCTGCGCGCGGTTCAATGGAGCAGCACAAGTCCTGCGCTTGAGGAATGGAGTGTTAACCAAATAGTGAGGGAAAGGTTTGCCACGATTTTGCTGGAATTGTACAGTCGAAGATTTTCAGCTTAGTATAGCCTTACGGTGCCGGGAAAATGCGGTAAAATATGGCGGAAACAAACAGCGTCAGTAGTGCCACATCTTGCGCGCGCAAATGGCCGGCGTCACGGGCGCAGGTATTTGCTCATTACCGCAATTTTCTGGCATCGCAAGCACATTGGGTGGGGGAACGAAAGCCGCCAGGTCCAGCCGCCTTTCGCGGCCAGCTGGTCCTTTCGCAGCGTTGTTGCATGTCGTTCCAGGACCAGCAGTCCGCGGAGGCGGCTGGACCTGGCGGCTTTCGTTTCCCCACCCCAAGCACATTAAATTGAGCGGAAGATCTACTCGATGTAAATATCAACTTGCCTGCGATATGATTTCGCAACCAAATTCATATTTATTTTCGCAAGCGAGTTGCCACTAATAGAGTGTCGTAACTTCTGGCTAAACTGCCCCGAAGTCGTGTAGATAATTCCGCTGAGTTGATTTTACTCAAAACACTGTAGATCTCTGAAGACTGCAAGCATATTTCTGGCACATCGAAGCTTTTAGAAAACTCCTCCCCATGATAAAAAGGTTGGTAACTAGTGCCCATTTTTTAATCGATGTATTAGGTTTTATCCTCCTTTTTACAGGTTTGAGGCCAAGCGAAAAGAGTTGGCACATTCATTTAGTGCCTTATTCGTAAAAAAGGTTTTGTGCATTAACTATATAGAAAGAGATCATACTGGAGGGCTCTTCATAAGGATACCTTCACACACCAAATGATGTGCAGTTATCTATGTTTTGGTAGTTTTGAGGAAACCAAATAATTTGGTTGAAAATCTAAGCCTTTCACTTATATGCACTGGGCCTTAAATACCGGGGCCTAACATCTTCGATTCAATAGAGTGAAAGACGATCTCACGGTAAAAGGCGTTTACAGTCAGAGCCACGCGAATACTCCTTATGCGTGGAGAATAAGCAAGGGTACGTAACCCTCTAAAGAAGTGAAGACGTCCAGAAACTGGAGATTTAGTTTTTATGGAAATTAATGCGTAGAGTTTCAAGATATTTCAGTCAGAAAAGTGTGATCATTTTGCAGACACTAAAAGATCTACGAATCAAGTAAAGCAAAGCAAAATATATGGTGACGGGTCTGGTGCAGTGCTCGCAAGACTTTTGCACTTAACCAGCAGACAAGTGGGATGAAAGTGGAAGAGAGGAGAACTTTAGAGAAATTGAAGATAATCAGATTTAAGCGTTAAGTATTTTTCAATAACTTCTAAGCGAGATAGTGAGAATAACTGTAAAACACTCGATGGAGAATCTTTGGAGCGAAAGGCAAGAAAAAGGCAAAATTCAGAATGAGCACCGTGACTCCAGCTAGAACCTTACTGGAGAGTCCTTGGTCGAAGTGCCCCCCCCCCCCCCAGCTGAGATGCATACAATCTTGAAAATTGAACTCTACTTTTAAATCTGTCTTTCTTTTCTGCGGAGCGCCTCTGGATGAGAAATTACAAGCGTTATATGAGTCAAAAAGCTAATTGGCCAAAATAAAGTCGGTGGTGAAAGCCTTATCGATTTGCAGATCGAACAATTGCAGCACTGAGGTTGCAAGCAGGAAATTTTTTCTTCAAAGAAAAGGACATTAAGTAACCAGTGTTATATTTGACCTCGCGAGAGGCTTCTATAGATGATTTTCTTTTGACTACCGTTCAAGATCGCTACGAACGCTCATAAATCCTGGTACAGAAGCGCTTCGCAGATAATGAAGGCACATTTGGGATCAGCGCTTCATGTGCTTTAAGAAAGTGTGCGTTTCTTCTGGAGAGCCCACTTGGACTAAGGTTTCTTCTCCCATTAGAATGAGAGAGTTTAGGGTTAAAGTCAATACAAGTAGAGTATCGACGATTTTCCTCCCTCTATAAAGTTTTTGGAAGTGAAATCAAAAAAATTTGCCTTGCTGAAAAATGAGAAATTTTGGCGCACATAAGCGATGATGGCGCCGCAGGAGATAACAGTATAAGCAGAAAGAGCAAAGAAATTCGAAAATAATACAGTGGAAAAAAGCATACTGTAAGCACAGTTGAATAGCAATATGATATAAGAATATCCCCCGACAATGTGAAAATATAGCGTAGGCGATATTTAGAGAAAAATCGTTACTACTTCGTCATCAAGAGCGCAGCAAAATCAACAATATCAATATCAATCGACAATATCAAACTCACGAAGATTGCTTTAATTCGTAATTGTTCCGATCCTCTGTTACTGAAGCCAAATTTGACACTGCATCCAGCGCTTTGAAAGGACCTATAGTTCGAGAGGTACCCGTGTATAAGATGTAACTGTACTGTTGGTCTTCATCTTTTAGTGCGTTAATAGTGTCTCGGGTGTTGTCGATGTCCTAAAATCAAATTACTTTCTGTACTCCATATCCTACTCAAAGGCGAATGGCACTGAATTATCACTCAAAAACTGTAAAAAGATCAAACCGTGTTCAAACTACAGTCCCCGCTGACGTCTCGTCTTTGTCGCAAACTTCTGACGGAAGGGCTGCCGTCATTTCCGACGTAAAAGGCAAAGTACAAAACGGTTTCTGAACATAAAGTCTTTAACATTTCTTTCGATTTGTCAAAAGTTTACCTCCTTCACTTTTGTTTCCTTTCGGCTTCGTCAATACTACTGTGAGGACGACCGTCAGTGTTACTCCAATAACGAGTATCGCCAAGAACACTATGGTCAATAGCCTCCGCTTCATCATCCTAATAGAATTACTCATAACAGCACATGTTTCCTTTGCTACCTTTTGTCGCAAATACAATACGAAGAATAGTTAAGCGTGAGGGTGCATGATCCAAACTACATATAAGCAGCCAGAAAGGATAAGTGTAGAAGCCTAACTGGCTGTAGAATATGTGCTTAATGCTCTAAAACTCACCGAATTGGCTTTTTTATGACTACTGGGATTCGTGATTTGCAGGGAACAAATTTGGATTTTCTTTTGGCGTTTCATCATGGTAAGTCCAAAATTTTGAATGCTCGAAATTGTCGAGCTCGAAAGGTCAAGAAAACTTCAAATTTGACAAGGATACTGATGCATTGTATTCTATTCTTCAAAAACAAGCCGATATCCGGTCGTCAGTGTTGCCTTTAGTTGTAGGACTGCTTAGCGGCGCTAATATTCTAAAGTCACAACTTTTATACTAATGTAAAGGAACGGTGACTTGTGGAAAAGCAAAGCAAGCTCTTTGAATGATCTAGTTGTTCTTAAAATGTTGCTATTACTCGAAAATCTTAGAGCGAATCAAATGATTTAGTATAGAGTAATTGCGTCCTCCTTGAGTTTTGTGAATTCGAAAAGTTTTTGACATAAAACTACTTCAGGAATCGTGCCATTTCCGAGTAAAAGCACGAATCGGGCGCTGAATGAGCCTGATAAGAAAGAAATGGATGAGCTTTTCGGCTGTAATAGATTGTTAAGGTCTGCCTTCAGGAAAATCATCATGAAATGCGAACGAAAAGCGCGGCTTTGAGAGTGTTCTTGATATGCGATTCTTGCAATCTTATATATAAAGCTGAATGTCTGTTTGTCTGTCTGTCTGTGTGTATGTCTGTATGTCTGTCTCGTGTGTTCCGAATAGAAAATTCCATTTCTGAACCGATCCGGACCAAACTTGGCACACATACACTTCGAGCCCCAGCGGGTGTCATAGGCAGCTTTTCGTCACCGATCGATATCGATTTTATCGATTTTTATCGATTTTTTTGCTGAGTTCACCTACGGGGCTGGGAGTTTGCAAAGGGGGGTAATCGAGCATGCTGATTACAAATATATTATTGACAGGGCCAGGCGGAGCCGGGTAAGCCATCTAGTACTTCAATAAGCTAGGACGTTTTGCTGTAGACAGGCAAAAAAAACTACAAATCGTTGCATGGGGATGCAGCATTCATACTTGGCAAATGGTAGACCTAATGAAGCTTGAAGAAGCTTGGTCCCTACTGTCTACATCTTTCGGATTTGTCAGATACATCGTAATTGTCATATGCTCCATAGCTGAGGCTAACTAGCAAAAGTTGCTTATTTGATTTTAAGGCCCAAAAACTGGAGGTCTTTAGCTGTTTCGCAACCCAGTCAGCGCACTTCTGATATAGCACATAAATTTCCTTACGTGCATAATTTAGCCTAAAGTTGCCAGTATACGGATCATTATATCGTTGACTGACAGGCAAAACTTCAAAACTTGAAAATTCGTGGAGACTTTTCCTGAACGCAGCGTTTCTTCGTCATTTCTACTTGAAAAATGCTTGCAGCTTACTATTTCTTATCAGTAAGCCTTGAAGATAAGAAAGAATGACAAAAGAAGTCGGGCGCCACGTTGAAATGAATCATCATGAACATTAATAGCTGTTTGAATATATGCTAGAATCATGGTTGCTTCGGAGAACTAGTTCCCATCACGGTCATTATGTTGGTATATGGAAGCATTAGTGAGTGAGAGAAGATGCCCGTTATAAATATTCAAAATAACATCTTGAACTGTATATGTTAGTGCCTTGAATGTTGAATCATCTGCTATTCGCAATGTCGCCTCAGGGTAAACACGAAAAAAAGTAATTGGGGTACTCTTTGATAGATCAGAGCAAGCTCTACAAGAAGAGTCTCAAAAAAATTGAGTTGTACGGACAGTTTCTTGATTTTTCTACAGCAGTTTCACATACTTTCGCCAAAGCAATGCTGACCTTCTTCCGGAATGTGATTTCAAATTATAAATCTCAAGAAGTCAACCATGAATTTTCAGCTTTAAGAGCCACTTGTGAAATAATAACCTAGCATAATGAAAACAAAAAAAAAGCGACACCTTCACATTTTCGACCTGTTTTTGTTCCCCTTATTACTGCAATAGAGAAATATTACCATTTTACCATGCATGTTTGATGTCAACAGTACATTTAGTGTCATGGAGGTCCGTTAGAATTTTATGGACAGAGATGCAATCTTTAGAGACGCGATAAGTATTCCATGATTTTTATAAAGCGACATTCCTTTCCTTCCAACCTAATACAATGGCCATGATTAACGGATCAACGGGCTATGGTACTCCGAAAACCTGCAAGGACCGTCGTGCTGCTTTTCAAAAACAACTTTTACAATAATGTTCTTATTCCCGATCTCAATAATCCAGATAAGCCATATAGAATTTATTGTCGAATATATACTCTTAAAAAATCTCCACCATAAATCTCCTCCATTTTGATTTTATTAGATAGAGTGAAAGAAGGAACATCCAGCTACTGGGTTTGAAAAAACAAATATAGCCTACCTGCTCTCAATCAGCTAGTCTAGTTATTTAAAGTGAGAATGAAATTGACAAAAAAAATTAACACCGGATTCGCAAAAGATGTTTTGCAGACTCAGAAGCTGACATTCCAGTAATTTTCAGGACGTCGTAAATGGCTGGCATGCTCCAACAATGACAGTTCAAGAGCCTGATAAAGTCATCTCTAACTACACCTTTTCGACTTCGAAAAAGCTGTAGGAAAATCCGAGGACGATCATTACAATCATCTGGGTCCCCAAACAGTCATAAAACTTGACATCTCACAAAAGTGTTTATGGTAGGAGTGGTCTTTGAATATGAATTCTATACCATTCTGTAGAGCTTCGAATACAGATTACATGTCTGCTTTCACTACCCGCAAAACGTTTCCAGACGCCGGTTGAATGCACATCTGAGACAAAAAGGTCCAGAACTGTTGGCCCAATGTTGTTTACAAGAAAGCTTAAGCACTGGATACCTATTGTCTAAAATACTTATACTCAACATAGGTCGTAATCATTGAATTCGATTGATCCTGCGTGCGTTTGCCGCTTCAAAATGCACTCATGAGTCGAAATCCAAAGAAGTTCGGCAAATAATTGAAATAGATCTGAAATCAGGGGCGTTATGTATAAATCATCCGTCCGGGTAGGATAACATTCAGGTAGTATCCACTTCCTGGCTCGGTGCTGTGAGGATCTGCGTTCTTCCTCGTTTGTCCAACTAAGGGAGGCCCTACTACCCTAATATTGTAGCATAATGAATAGCAGCACTTTGCTGTATAAGCTGAGGTTTTTGGTATTTCATACGATTCCGAGGATTATCAAGATATCACGGCTCATTTTTAAAGTCATTCATCTTTACAAAAACTCAAAGGAAATTTCCTAAAGTTATGCTGTTGGTCTTCTATTTTGACAGTGCTGAGCACTGTACTCACTCGTTAATTCCACACTTTTGTGGAATTAGCGAGTATAAACTCAAGTTGACAAAATCTTCGATGACTCTGCTTGTGAGGTGATATTTATCGAAAACTCAAAACTTCCACATTTCATCTGTGCTACTGAAAAAATGCTTAGCACCATAATAAGTCTTTAGCACAAATTTACGACATTTTCATTGACTTTTTGCAAGGATAAATGACAACAAAAATGAGCCGTGATTCCCTGAAAATCCCGTTCGGCATCATAGGTAGAGGACTATATGTTGTCGTGGTGGGGCGTTCCCCGCGGTCTTCTGCAACAAATGCGCACCCTTTCACATGCATGGAGGTGCGTTTTCGCAAAAAGTCCGTGCGGTCCTCCTACATTCGGCGGCGTATGGTACTCCACCCGCATGCAATATACCGAAAATCTCAGCTTATACAGCAAAGTGCTGCTAGCCATTATGCTACGTAACGGGGTACAAAGCCTAGGCACCGTCCACCTTTGAGGTTGTTGAGCTTTTGGCAGCATATAACAGTAGGGCCTCCTAACAAGACAATGCCGAAGTCGCGGCCCAAATGCCGCTTCGGAAGCGAGAAAATTGCTCCGGAATAGTGGATGTGCACGAGGACCCAAGTCAGCACTGACCCCTCCAGTAATGCCCGCCCATCCGTACGCGCCCATCCAATCACCATTCCGAAGAACCAGCCTGGGTATTCTCCGGAACGGAAATTGTCGGTGTTTTCGAGCATTCTCGACTTCGTATGCGGAATCAAGGACATGAGAAGGCCCTGAAACGACAAAAACGTAGAAGTCGAAAATCTGGGTGGACGGTGCCTTTAAAAGGTGGACAAACAAGGAAGAACACAGATCCTCAGCACATCAAGCCGCAAAACGGATACTAACTGAATGGGAACCCTTGCCCGGAAGGGCGATTGATACATATCGCCCCAAGTCAAAGCTCTTCATAACGGTGTGAATTATTAAGAAAGGCGTTTTCGACTCGGAACACTTTCCTTGTCAGAAATTATTACCACACATCATCATTGTAGAGACTTGTATGATTATGCTCAGTCCAAGTGCTAGTGAGCCAAGGCTCCTAACAGCGGCGCAAGTTTGTGACGTGCACACTGATTCATGCTACTCCCTGCCGCGCACTCTGCAATATTTGGTAGCGCCTTTGCTTCCAAGAACCAAGAAGATATTGCAACTAGTGCTTTGCAAACTAGATCATCGAAGCAAATCCTAATTTCTGGAAAATCTTCCATAAAATGGAGATTTTTAGGTGATGCTTTTGAATTAAAAACAGAGTGGCTATGGAGAACGATGAACTTAGGTAGTGCGTAAACCATGTACCCCAATTTCACGCGTACAAGGCTCGGAGATTTTTCAATAATCGACTAGCTCAAACACGGCAAAGGACTTCGCAACTAGAGGACCCTATAATGTACTATAAATTGCCAAAGAGAATCGTGCAGTATAAGGATTTTTTGCCGAAATACAGTGAAGCAGTTGAGCGGCTC